ATAGTGGCGACGAACCGTGGACGTAGGACTGAAAAGTCCGGGGATTTTATAATCTCTGGTACAAATGACAATAATGAAATACGGATGGGAACGAGTGAGTATTGCGACTTGGACCGTTTTGATCTGGACTTGGTTGCGGACAAGTGTATACCGATATTATTTCCAAGGGTTTTCGACCCCCTCGGAAAAGTATATGGTTCTTCGACATTTATGTGGCGTTTTTACACGTAGCCTACCCGTCATTCATGAAATAAGTCTGAGTGCCCTTCGGTTTTATTTTCGCGCGGTGCTCCTTTACACCACCACCCGTGAACGCCCTAACGATAAAGCCGTGGAACCGCACATCCGCAGCCGAATACCAGTCCGAGTCGGCGACCGCGATATATTATAATTCGTAATATAGGTTTATCGAACGTTTCCCCCTGTCCTACAACGACTAAATCGCCGGCACTGAAAACATTATAGTCTGACGGCGGCGTATCGTCTCAACAGCAATTTTTACGCCCTTTGCAGAATATTGCCGTGACTCTTTCCACGTCATATATTATTATGTACCGCGTTTCGCATTTACAAATAGTTTTGGCTCAACTTTTCATCAAAAGAGCGATTGCCACGCACTTCCATTACGCTCGAAATAACGAGCATGCTCATCGTGGTTACACGTTCGACTTTCAAACGTTGTATTAGGGGTAGTAACACCATCGGCTGTGTACATGTAGTATATTTATATGAACTTAACCGTAACAAAGTCGATGCTACTATTCTCAGTGGCGAGCGGCGGATGAACGGAGGATGTCACACACCACTAAATACGTATACTGTGTACATGTGAAGACCACGAGGTTGAAACACTACTGTATATTCCGACGTTGGTTTTGTCGGGGGTGGATTGAGCAGCGAGGGATTTGCGAGTGTGATGCGGGGAGTTGTGGTTACCATAGGGTTTCAATCCCTTTGCCATGATGTGTAATATTATTAAAGTAAGTCGTGTATATTATACTACCCCTCGCCAGGTTTATCTATACCGATGACACGCGTAATACACGTTGGCTTAACGAACCCGTCGTCCAGTTATGACGTGTTGTTTTATCGGATCACTATTTTAACCGCGACTAGCCCAACGGTCAGATGTCCTACGCGGGTCCAGAGAGCAGCGTACGTGCAAAGTTTTGGTTCCGCGTTTAATTATAAATCGATACTAAAATCAACAGAAAATATTATTAACATTGAAACTGGAAGGAGGTGGAGGACGTTTTGGAGGGTTAGAACCCCTAGCTGATGTTATTACGACATATGTGTACGCGTTACGTACGCACGAGAGCGTTTGGAAGAGAACCGTGGAATCTCAAGCGCAAATAAAAACCTAGAGACTTGAATCCCCCCAACCATCATTGGTGATTTATTTAAAGTTGTAATGATTACACGATGGGAGTACACCCATGCGTATTAATATCGCATATAATAGAGGCGGAAGAGGCGGCGTTGACGTCGTTCGCGACGGTGGTCATTCCGAATCGCTTACGTCACCCTATACACAGAATTCCGTGGTCCACAGGTGTTTTTCTTTTAAAAATTTTAAACTGTAACGATAGCATCTGCTGTGTTCAATGTTATACGACGTGTCACAATCTGTTGAAAATAAAAAATTACATTACAATAACTACAGTACTTTGCAGATGTCATAAAAAAAAATCTCCAACACACAATCACTGACAAGCATATCGTTTCACATTTGAGCTTAAATGTTTATTTATTTTTATCATGATCGTATAATTCTTAACACGTGATAGTTTTGAAATAATAATAATATACTCAGTCTACTTGAATTAAATACATTATATATATATATATTTAGCCTCGCGCGCTTATATACCAATCTATATTATGGATAATATAATTTATATTATGGCTATCAGAGAGTTCATAACGAATAAATAATATTGAATCGACGGCGGTGGAGAAATGGTCGAAATTTGTTAAACGGTATAAACAAGATGTGCACTCAAATGTGCGGCTATAAAATACGTTATATTATTACTCGATAGTGTACTCGTATATACATAAATACATAACCAAGAAATGACAAAATTGTTGTTTTGCTTGAGTTGGAGAACTATTATTAAAAAAAAAAACCAATCCTGGGACGTCGGTATTACTACGTCTGGTCGTACTTGTACGCGCGACCGGTATGGTTTGATACTTATTAATAATGAGTTATTACACTTAGTATTATCGCGTCGCTATTCGTTAAGGTGTTTTAGGATATGTTTGCAATACTATTATGTATCGCGGTACCAAAAGTTTGCCGAGAAGCAAAAAGAGGCGAACAGACATATGTGTATATAGAAGGAGAAATATAGAGAATGATTGAACGCGAAACGTTTGTTTTTTGCTCTCGAAATTTGCTAATTGAACGTCGTCTACCGTAACAATGTACTGGTATTACTCGTACGTGTTGTGTAAAAACTCTATCGAGTCACAACCGGTATTGTAATCAATGGAGTGCCGCGTCAGCGTGTCGATTGTGCTCACGCCACGGGACACGATATTTTGAGGTTGAAACTTCGCTTACACACGGGCCACCGAGATCACACGAAAACCAAACCGTTGCAAAATCTTCGCCGCCCCCGTACAAAATGTTTAATCCCTGCCGGGACTTACGTAATATTACAATTATTTCCCTATAAATTACTATACAGCTAGCGGAAAACAATCTTCGAGTTTCGACTTGACTGCGCGACGTATATATTATTATGTTAATTGTTCATGCCAAAGCTAGTACGCGTACGAGTTGATTTATAAGAAAATTTAGCTATAAAACATTGATATTTATTAATTCGTCTAATACTGTAGCTTAATATTTATAATAACTACAATAGTAACTAGGTGCGATTATTGAATTACGTTGAGCACGTATTAGATTCGTATAAATTAATCGTCTAACAGAGAAAACTATCCAATTTAGTAACCCATTACATGTTCATATATATGTATATAGAGTGTATCATGAACAGGATCGAAAATCAATGCTGTTTGTACAGAACTATTATTTTAAACATTTTTAATTTATGCGAATACTCCGTAAGTATATCTATCAACAGCTAATATTTAATACTTTGATAAGTACTTGAATAAAATACTTTTAAATTAATAAAATATTTAATGATTGTGGCATAAGATGTTCGGAAAATGTACACAAGCAATAACGGGCGTTCAGAATATGTAAAATGAAAAAATGTATAATATAGATATCATTCACAGTTATGTACTTATACGTAACGCCAGTGTAATAATTTTCTAAAAACGATTAATTCGATTTTCAGTTAGTATTGTTATATTTTATATAGTTACTAAAACTATCAAAATTACAAAAACGCTGTGGAAAAACCATGAGTTTCTGAGAAAGAGAGAATCCTTTGAAATTAATATGTCATCTGTAAAAAATAATACCAAAAATCTTGTTTCATATTTGATGAGATTCGGTAAACTGCACTAAGATTGTATAGTTTAGAAAAGTTATTCTAAATATTAATCATTGATAAATATTTACAATTAGAAAAACAAATTTCCACCAATTCAAATTAGAATATATGTTAACACAACCTAATATTGTCATCATAAATATACAAATTTCAAATAAGTTACATTTTTTTATTCGGTATAGATCTAATGCAATTTTGTACTACAAAAACTGCTTTATGTCCAAAATGATTGGCATTAAGTGTATACAAAATCAATAAGTTATTCGAAGAAAATGTTAATTTTCAAACTTTTCTTAAAATACCTGAATAATTAGTATTCGAAGAAGTAAGGGCTAAGGTTCTCCATTCAGTAGACATTCTTGTATTTAATATGAAAAAAAGAGGAATGTTATAAGTTTAAAACTTAAACAAACTATAACTATCTATATTTACTTGGCAGCATCCGTAAATTTGGATTTATAACAATTGTTATTGCATAAAAGAATGATTATTTACTTAATTTTTTTCATTTAAAAATTAATTTATTTTATCATACATAGATATAAAATTATCCAACTAGAGTCTCAAAAGAAACTGGTGCCGTGACTTGAAAATCTAAGAATTAAAAACTTAATAAAATTAGGAGGTGTCACAGATGTGTGATTTCCTCCTCATATGATTATATTATATTTATCAACTTCCTGTAAAATATATTATTATTACTTAATGTACATACTGTATAGATTGTAATTTTTCAAATAAAGTCATGCATTAAAAAAAAAAAAAGATTAAAAGATAAAATCAAAAAACCTTTTTTTTTTCTTAAAACAAACTTGATCAACTAAAATATGTGTAATATACCACCTGTATAATATGATTTAATATTTATGGAACATTTAACTATAAATATTAGTACAATAATTTATTACTTAAGTCAGACCATTGATAACATTTCACTAATATATTTTTATATTATTTTCTCTAAATATTTTTCCGACGGATATTAATTTTTCGAATATCGTATTTTCGGATATTTGTTGTTTTACAAATATTTTTACTGTATGATATTGGTTTCTTTAATGTTTTTTACACGGATATTTTTCTTAGGATATTTTTACCGGTCGCTATGACGTCATCACATGACAGATTTTGTAACTGAAATAATATGTATGTGAAAACGTCAGATATTCATAATATACCCTGTATATAATTATAATATATATACATATATATATTAAATAAGGGGTTATTTTTGATAAAATAATTTTCTGAGGTCTGGTTTTTTGTCAAATATTCTAAACATGCGGAGCTTTAGCTTGCGCCCGTCCCCTTACGGTTACGCTTTTCCAATATTTTGTATTATTTACACAAGGGGGTCGAGTGTGACTGGCGACACTTGCACCATCGAAAAATCGATGTCTTTGTTTTATACTGTCTAATAATAATAATTGTTATACTAATAAAACTATTCATTCAAGGCAGTGATAATTATCGATCAGCACAAAGGGGCCAATATTAACGGGCGTAATAACACACACGTGTGTACACATAACATTATATTGTTACATTGTTTAACACTTATTCGGTATAAATCTTCCAATTAGTCTTACCATGTACGCTTTAAACCTTAAACCTATTTTTTTTATTTTATGTTTTAAACTCGACGTAACTAGATTTTAATATAACACCGTATTATGCACCGGACAGCTTTTTAGTCACTCCTCTGTGCGTTTGCTGTTGTTCCAACGAACTTTTACACATCAGTAGGTTTTTGTATGCTTGTCGGTATTCCGAGCTCATGACCACGTAAATGATCGGATTGATGCACGTGGTCAAGTATATGAGGACGTACGCGGTGATGTTTAGCACGTGCAAGTCGTCCAATTCGTGCGACGTTTTGCTTATAGTGATTGGCAAGTAGCACGTGACGAACGACGCGAATATCACAAGAATCATTTTTAGCAGCTTTTTGTCTTTCGAAGACATCCTGTCGACGCCTATCGTGCTTTGTTTTCGGGTCCTCGGAGAAGAGTCTTCTTTCGTCTGGAAAACCTGTCCAACAATGTCCGTTGTACATTAAAAGCTTATAAAACGTCTATGGTTCAAAAAAACTAGTGTACAGTGTTCAACGTTTGAATTGCATATTTTAATTAAACTCAAGTGTTTCGGAAGAGAATAAAGAACATCATCAGCAACGCCGGTAAACGTTAATTATCATTAATCAGATCGATATGCTTCATAAGTAAAAATGTGTTAAATTTGTTCTCGTAATTATCACAGAACAAAATTTTGTAATACTTAAGTACAATAATTGCAAACTAAAATCTTGTTCAATTAAAATAAAGCAATTTGATTGGAAATAAATTTCAACAGTCGAACGTAAAGAAATGTGTCTACGTTTTTCCGTATCCGAGTTGAATATGAACGTTGTGTAATTTTTTTAATTAATTTTTTTTATTTTGTTCTCGTAATATCGTGTAATGTCTGGTGTTATTTAAGGAGTAGAAAGGAAAAAAAAATAGTCTAAAGCAAAGTTGTTATTTTATGTGTAACATGATTTCATTTTATTTTTTATTATTTAATTCGTCTTACTTTATTATTTTGTATAGTTCCAAAGTTAAACTATCAATCGTGCTTATTACAAAAATATTTTTAGAGAATATAGTAAAAATAAAATTTATGGTATATAAAAAATTTTGTCGAAACGATATTAGACTTATGGATAATGGTTGGTATTTTTTACAAAGGATCAACATTAAAGTATACATATATAAATGAAGAGAAAAAACCATAATCCACGGATTTGAACCCGTTAATACTGTAATATATGTTGAATGATGTTAAACAAACCGGGTTACTTATGCGATCAGTATACCTTAACAAAGAATTATTTTCTCATTTATGTATTTGACCGAAGAGTTATTTTTATTTTACGCTGGTTCTTAAGTTTTTATACCAGTATCAACTATGATTTTATTATATTTATTTTCTTGTTAGCGATAAGAAATTCGAAGCTCAAAGAAACCATTTCGAAAAAATATTGTCATGGAAAAAATAATAATAATTTATTTGAATACTTATGATATTTGATACACTAAAGGCGCAGTAATTAAGTGTACATAATTCCAATTATTTATATTATTTGCTCTCTAAAATAACACTGTTGTGTTACAGATTGTACATTTCTACGTTGGAATTGTAAATTTATTGCATAATAACTCGCATGCAATAGACATATTATATATTGTTGTTCACGGACTTATAGTAATGTTGGTTTAATTGCGTTGTTTTTAACAAAAAAAAAAAAAAAAAAGAAAAGTGAAAATGACGTTGGCCATTCAATACATCAGTATAAATATTTTTCAGACTCACCGCGGATACGACTTGCGTGATGGTGGCATTCAGAGCGGATGACGGGGAACGGTCGCGTCGCCTGGACTTTCTACGCTCGGAGAAGGATATCGGTGAATAGCTCTCCTCGAGGCCGGACGAACTGGCATCGGCGACGATGTCGTGTGGGGACAGGAAATTCTGTTCCTTCGAGTCTGTGGTGGAACACGTGCCAGTAGCCGTGCTGGACCCGATTGCCGAGTCGGTGGATATCTCGGGCACCTTGAAGCGCGTCTTCAGGGTGTAGTAGGCCGTGGTGTCTGACGGCTTGGAGTTCATCATATGCCGCGGGTTGCTCGTCACCGTAGCCCGCGACTTCAGCGCTGTTTTCCGCACGATGTAGAAAATCCGAGCGTAACACACCACGATGGACAGACAGGGCACCACGAATGCGCCCATAAATAGGATTTCCTTTGGTGACCGGCCGACCGAGTCCGGCAGTATTGAGCACGAGCCGACGGTCACGTCCAAGCCGAATTGGCCCCATTTGCCCAGCCACGTGGGAACCAGCGCACCGAAACCGCCTACCCATGTCACCGTCACCATCACGCCCAAATAGAACTTCTTGTACAACCTGTATCGCGAATGATAATAAAATAAACACAGCATGTAATAATGGTTCGTGTTCAACGTTTTTTTTAAACATTTTTTTTGCAAAGGGGTTCAATCTACGTCGATTAAAATGTAATTAGCCTCGAATATTACGCGTAAAATTGTCGTTGAAACTAGTACGGTTTTGAACTTGGGACAGGTTTACAGATGATTTTATATTTCTAAGTAAAATGAATTCAACACTATGATAGATTTATGATTTTATATTTTATATTCAATATTTACTTTTAGTAATCATTATGAGTGTGTTTGGAGTATGATATTTTTCTTAAAATGACTGATGCCTACCAGTAGGTATTAACTAAAAAAGTTCCAGTCGAAAGTTTGAACATATCATATTTTAAGAGCAGTTACCCGAAAGAATTGATATTATTATATCCTTTGGTAATCAGACTTGACGAAAGTTTAAACCAGGGACCACCACCAAATATTTTTTCTGTATTATACAACACAATATTAAGAGTCGCATTAAAAATTCGGAAAATATTCACAGGCCGTCAAAATGCAAAGAAGATATTGAACATATTATATTTTATAATGCTGATTGGCTAAAATAAACTATAAAACAGGCAATAAGATAATATATATTCGAATAAACTAACGAATGTTAAGATATGCTTCACAACTTGTACTTTTGAAGCTATCGAAAAAATCTAATAAGTATAAAGATAACAAATTACCTACATAATTAATTATTATTATAATCGTGCGTAGTAATGAAGCATTAAATTTTGGGTTCTTCTCTTCTTGTCCGTGGACTAGTTAAAATTCATTTACGGGCTACCATCTGTTGATTCCGGGTATATATAAACAATTTAAAGCATCGAGTATCGACTCAGACGGAATCATGGTTAATGATTGCCAATAGATAGTAATTTGATGTACCCAATAATGGAAAGTTCAAGATAACGAGAAAATTAAATTTTTAAATTTCAGTTTACGTTGATAATGTTCTTTATATTCAAAATTTATTCGAAATTGCCTTAAAAGTTTATATATATATATCGAATACTTTAAAAAAATTGAGCAGAATAAATTATAAATATATCGTTATAAATAATTAATTTATGATTAAGTTGTTCTCTTTGGATGAATAGGTACCACGTATGAAAGTGATCAACCTTGAAAATGTATTACATTATTTTATGATTTATTACATGCTTTCTCCCAATAACGTCTTTTAAAGTGGTAAAAAGCTTAAAATGTTTCACTCAGCACATTTATTGATTGGAAATTCTACAGAAATGTCACGTTAGAAGAGTAGGTCGTTGAATTCTGTAGTTCTTGCCAGAAAGTTGCGAATATATAACACAAAACGGCGATGAAATATAAGTAAATACATTTTTTCAATATCATATTAACTTTACTCTTGGTGAACCGAGCTCAAAAGTAATTTTTCGAATTCAATAGCTGTTATGTTTAAATTGAGTTCAATATAGAAATCGCTGTTCACAATTGGTTTATTATTTATTGTTATTAGATGATATTTTTAAAATTATTTGTTCTGACCTAATTTTACATTTAATATTGAAAAAATAAAAATTATTTATTAAACACGTAGTAATGGGCCTGTATATAGGATTTAACATGGTTTGAAATTGTTTAAATTTACCCTACATATTTCAAATGTCTTTTAGATTTTTTTTACCTATGGTTAACTTTTAATTTTTTTTTTTTAGTACTTTGAGAGGATAATGACTTCACATATACAAATATTGCACAGATATATACAAAAAAAAAGTTGAATATTATATAAGCAATTAATGAGAGGACGGGGTGAGACTGAGGCTCAGTATCTATGAATGCATCCTGTTCTACTATGCCGAATAAAATACTTAAAATAATAGTGACAAACTTAATTATTTAACAGTTTTCGCTTTTGATTTTATTTCCTATCTGGTATAAGTATAAAGATACATTTTTATTATATTATACAATTATTAATTTCAGTGAATTTATGTCATTTATTAGATTTTAATTACTTTTGTTTTAATACATTTATTACATTTGTATTTATCGATATATATATTTTTAGAACATTGTAATAATTTACTTATGGTTTTAGTTTTGGCTGTCTGGTTTAAATCAAAAAAAAAAGTATGCTCTAAAAATCAAAGATTGCAAATGATTTCACGTTGGAAAAACACCCACGCGATCAGTTATAAATGGCAATGGTAAATATCATTCATGAACAACCATGACTGACTAACATGCAATAGTAATCTGTTTTACGTGTTGAAAATCGACCAAAAGTAATTTTTCTCCGCAAGTTTTCTATTGACACGTTATTATTGTTTAATATTTCATGTTGCATTTGCAAAATAAAAAAAATAATAAATATTATTATATCTATAAGTATGAAATTTATGCACCACAAAGAATACAATTTCATAAGAAATTTTGGTCTTATGAGTTAATATTCAAATATTTATCATTTTACTACATAAAAAAAGTATTTTTATAACGATGACAGATAAAGACTAGTAGGAAATTTCAAATATTCATAAAAACTTCTGTCAAAAAAAAAAAAAGTCGTTTTCTGTTACTTTTTATCTCTTAGTAGTTTGTTTAAACTGAAAATTATTGCGACTAGAAAGAATTGTATTAAACCTAAAAAACAACACATTTTCATCGTGATATTAATAATTCTTTAAAGTAAATTGTATTTACAGCATAAAAGTTTTTTTTTAATTAATATACTTAATCTGTTGCATTGTAAAACAATAAAAATAATAGTGTTTGTTTACGTTATTTCAATTAATTATTTCAAATAGTTCGACTTAGACAGAGTACAACTTCTAGAATAAGAAAAACTTCTGAAGTATTTATTTTAGTCAAAGATAGTTTTTATATTAACAGTATATACTTTGTTTCATTTATACACTTTAAATATAATTATTTAATTAAATTGAAAAAAAAAATATAATTAGATAGGTACAATATGATCTATTGATTCGTTTGTTATTTTGTACAACGGTATTATTATCAATTTTGAATATATAATTAAAAATATAGGCCTAATATGTATACTTTAGTGAACAGTTAAAAATAAAATTAACAATGATTTTTAATCAACGATAATATATATTATAATAATATATAATATATATAAATATCTATAATATATATAAATATAATATATAATTATTAATATAATATATATTATATGTATAATATATATTCAATTACTTTGGATACAATGACGGATGTCCAATCATAATGTATCGATTTATGGTGATGGCCAGTATGGTAAACAGTGATACTGCTAATAGCCCGTATCTAACCAATGGGAACAGTCGGCATAACAGTTGGCCGTGTATCCATGATCTGTACCAAAACGTAGAGGCAGCAAGGGGTAAGTTGAAGCAACAAAAACTTAAATCTGACACACTGAGGTTGATGATGAATACGGCTGTTGCATTACGCACCTGAAACAATAAGTCACACAATGTTGGACGATGAATAACATAAAATAAACTTCGTTGGTTAATCTAGTGGTTCCCAAACAGTGCTCCGTAGAGCCCTTAGGTTCCGCAATCGTTTTTAAATGGCTCCGATCGTTTTAACATAGAAAATGTAAAAACCTAACAATTATTGATCCTCATTAAAAACTACAGTGTTTATATTTATATGAGACTCCGTCACTAAAATATAATTCACCGATACGTATACAAACAATTATAAAATACTAATAGGAAAATATAATTTTTTAATTTTAGATAATATACATCCCCATTCCAGTTATTTCCCGGCTAGATAAATTGTATACAAATATAATATTAAATGTACACTATCTCATTTTGAGTTTCCTTCTATACAAATATATATATATAAATATCATGTGTAATATAATTCATTAAACACAGGCAAATAAGACTTAGATAATACTAAATATTTTTTGGGGATCTACGAGAAAATACTGTTTAAAAAAAGGTTCCATGGCTGAAAAAGTTTAGGAATCGCTGGGTTAATCAAAGGATTTCGATAGTTAAAAACGATTTACAAGATAAAACATACGCAACATTTTTATAATGGGATAAAATACTGGGATTCAGTAAAAACCTTCTAAGTTAAAATATTATGCATAGGGCATAATATTATATTAACTATAAGACGCATTATTCCGCTAATGACAAGTGATACATAATTATGATATATTACGCAGTATGTAATGACTAGAGTTAGGATCTTGTAGATCTATAAAACTCTAAAAAAAAAAAACGACTCAAACTGAATTAAAAAAACATTCTGAGTGAAAGAGATTGAAGGAGATTAATTTATATTTATAATGATGGCTGATAATGTTGATATAAGAACTAAATTTCTTAAAAGGATAGGCTTAACTTAAATTCGAAAATATCGTGATTTTAATTAGCTTAAGTTTGATTAAAATATTTTAAAACCTGTTAAATGTCTATAAACTGTTAATATAAGTACTCTGTAAACATTTTGAGTCACTAAAATTAATATATATAATTCAGTAATACAATATTTTACTTATAGAACATATTCAAAATTTGTTGAAATATCCAATTTTGTCAAAATTGATTATCCAACGCTTATTAAATTAATAAATAAAGCGCATATTTACTAAATATCTGTTAAATTTGTTAAATAAGTATGCTAAGTTACTATATCAGTATAATATAAATTTTAAAGAAGTTCACTTTCAATATTTAAAAAACAATAACGCATTCAATCAAGTTGATGGAGTTGTAGAATTCAAATAGATTTTTATGCGTTTGAGAGCCAAAAGAGGACGTTAACCTCTACGATTTATAGACAAGTACATTCTCAAAACCACCGTTAAGTTGAGAAAATATCATTGACATTTTTTTTTTTACTAGAGATAATCTTATATATCATGAATCAATGGACTCTTTAATTAAACGCATGCATATAAAATGTTTCAACATTTTATCATCTTCGATGTCAATAGAAAAACGGATTTTAAATGAAAATAATAGTAATTATCATATAATAATATTTATTAACATATCAACGATAATACGGTGGTAACAATGAACTAGGTTGTTGTAAAGGAAAATAGTAAATTTTATGTAAAACGTCGCAATCAGTTCACGTTGTTATGGCATCACGCCATTGTTCCATATAATACTTAATGAGAATCCTATAATAATAAAGGCACCCTTAAGCCCAAGCCTACACGTTGATCCGTCCTTGCGTGGACTTTTGCATAACAGATTTGATATGCGGACAACGTTGTAATGTCATTTTTTCTCGTTCGACGGTGTCGTATTGTCCGCAATTTTCAGACTGTCGATTAAATATATTATATTACACATTTGCTGAAAATTAACATAAAAAAAAATATAAATAGTGAAATGGCGTCAAAAAAAAAAAAAAAAAAATAGTAAATAAAAAAAAATGATGATCACCGTTTTTTTTTTATTTTTTCCGGATTTTAACACGTTTTGATGTAACATGGTTTGTTATATCGAAGTCGGTTCGATCACTAATATCTGTGTGTAACCGTTAAAGGTATATCTCATTGTTAGATTGCGAAAAATGTGCTCGAGAAGTAATTGATATAGTAAAATTAAGACTTTTAATTTAAAGTATTTTTAAATTATTGATTATTCAAAGAAATTAAAAATTATTTAAAATTTGATTTCGATAGCTCATTGTCGTTATGTTAGATTAAAAAATAATTTAAAATGAATATTTTTTATTTAACCTATTAAATCAAATATTACAAGATATCTTGATTAAGCCGCGAATATACAAAATACATAAAAATAATTACCAACCTTTCAAATATTTAAAATATTCAAATACCTACATCAAAAACAAATTGTCGAAATGTTATTAATAAAAAAAAAAAAAAATAAATTAACTTAATAATGAAGAAAACCAATAAAAATCTTTCGAAAGAAAATAGTTAAAAATTCGTTTATATTATTCTACGTAGTACAAATAATATGTATAGTTAACATTTTTTCGTTGTATATCGTTAGAAAAATAAAAGTTGATGACTACACTATCCGAACTTAAGAAATGACCAAGACTCAGATGGTGTCGTAGGAAAAATTAGTAAAATCTCAATAACACTAAAATATTTCCAAGAATAGTAAAAATTGGACTAAAAATATCAAAACATCGGTTAAAATTTCATTATATATTTTTATTTATAGTTCATTTAATTTTAACAAAACAATTTTGTAACCATTAAAACTTGGTGTTATGTTTACGACAAAGGTAAATTAAATAATAATAATAAAAAAAAAACCATTAAAATTATAAAAAAAATTTAAATTACGATTAAATTAAAATATTATTAATTTATTATTAATAATTATGCTGACATTCGTATAAGTTATATACATCAATGTATTGGACTGTAATGAATTTCTTAATAATTTTAAATTCAAAGTATCTCTAAAATTAATAGATCAAGACGATGACATGAAGTTTACGAGTTGTTTGAAGAATACGTTGAACTATGATTTTCAAACATAATTTGTTCTTAGCTTTATTTATTATTCGAATTATACTATAATTATTTAACAATATGATTTTATGTTTGGTGGATTGTGGACATTTTTTTTTTTTGTAAATAAAACCCATAATAATATTAAAATATAAAAATAATACTATCTGTATAAATAAAAAAATATCAACAAAATTGCAATCAATTTGAAAGTATGTCAATAATGACTAAATGTTACACATTTTTGTCGGAAACATTTTATAACTTAATTATTTACAATTAATTCGTATAGTAGAAGAAAAATTGCTAATGCGAACTCTGTTAGTGACACATAAATAATTAGAAAAAAAAATGATTATACGAAAACCAATTGATATAAAGTGATTACTACAACGTATCTGGCAACAAACAAATTGAAAATACTGAGTACGATAAGCAACTAGTAGAAATGACGTCCAAAAATTGAATTATCGTCTTTAGCTGACACATTAAATGACACAAACCTTCCGAAAAAAGAAATGCATTAAACCAGATCAGGATAACGGAATTTTCGTTCAATAAACTATAAATCATGCCATCCTACCCAAATATTATGAAGTTAGGGGTATACAGTTGAACGTAAAATAAGAATTATTCACACCAAAGTTATTTCGGATAAATTTTCCATAAATAAACAAAAATAAAATAATAATAATAATAATAATAACTCAAATAGTATACATTGGCTGTTAATTTTCGATAAAACTGTGTATGATTCGTATCAATATTTTAGCGATAAAAAAATCAAATCATATAATAATCTTTTAATTATTTATAACCACTGGCTTACCAACCTACCATTTATACATGAGTAATTGCTATCGCTATAAATTAAGTATTCTTTAACTCTAAAAATAGCGTTCATAAGTTGATCGAGGTTAAAAACGTACCAGTACACTGAAAAATCGAGCTGATGAAAGTTTGACTGAAATGAAATATATGTATAATATGGTTTACGGAAGTTAATTTTGATTTGATAAAAATGTTACGTAACTTTATTAAACTTATGCATTCCGGTTCAGTCGTCTGTAAAGTGTGTTTGACGAGCCAGCGACAGACAAATGGAGCCTTTATTTCTTTAGGAAAACATTTCATACAACATAATGTGTATGTATTATATGTGTATGCTTATAGTTCATCTTTTTGAAATACTTTTGTATTCAGCATTAGAAGTTTTGAATGATATGTTGAACTTCATAAAATATTTAAATGCAATAACATAATTCTACATATATAGGTTTCGAATAAAGTTTTCATCTTTTCCAATATGATTATCTTTTATTATAAGTGTGTGTGTGGGAATTTTAATTTCTATATGGAATTGAACACAAAATTCAATTCAATATCGCAGTGGAAATGTTATTCAAAAATGAAATCTTACTGCATATATTATTATCATACATCATATAATGTGGTTGATATTTTTTATTGGAAATTTTAGAAGTTGCGACAATATTTTTTTCTTGTATGTATCGCTTTAAAATTATCACCAGAATCAACCTCCATTGCGCCCGTGCTATGCAAAACCGTGACATTATATATTTATTTATAATATCATTACTATTTTATTTGTTCTTAGGAACATACTGGCGTTTCGTTGTTTCGTGTCGTAATATTTATTTTTGCAAACGTCGCGGTTTTAAAAATGTTTTTATAATACATTTACATAGATCAAAATAACGGAGAATCTTTACAAAAGTTTAGGTTTTTGTGTAATGTTTTCGTACACAATGGAAGTTGAAAAAAAAAAGGATACAAAAAAGCAAAAGCATGTACATTCTATCAATCATAAGCCAGTGTATATAAATATATGTATGTTATACGGTGTTCTGAATTGTTTGATAGTATGTTAGATGTACTGAATACAGCAACTATCGATTACAAGTTCGTGCCGTATTATCTTCATTTTACTTCCACATACCACATATTTTATTCATT